GGCTGGGGCAGGAGAATCGCTTGAACATGGAAGTTGGAGGTTGCAGTGAGCCCACATCTCACCACTGCACTCTAGCCTGGGAGACAGAGCAAGACTCCATCTCAAAAACAACAACAACAAAACAACAACAACAAAAACCTTCACTTATTGAAGAGTTGATTGATCTTTTAAGGAAGACGTCTCCAACCCCTGGGCTGGAGACCAGTACTGGTCCTTGGCCTGTCAGGAACTGGGCGCAAAGCAGAAAGTGAGCAAAGGGCGAGCGAGCATTACGGCCTGAGCTCTACCTCCTGTCACATCAGCAGTAGCAGTAGAGTCTTATAGGAGTGTGAACTCTATTGTGAATTGCAAATATGAGGGATCTAGGTTGCACACTCCTTATGAGAATCTAATGCCTGATGATCTGAGGTGGAATGGTTTCATCTTGACACCATCCCTCCCATCCCCTGGTCTGTAGAAAAACTGTCTTCCAGGAAACCTGTCCCTGGTGCCAAACAGGTTGGAGACCACTGATGACTGATGACTCTTAAAGGACTGATGACTCTTTTAATGAATGAGTGACACAGATGAAGTATATAATCTGGATTCTAGCAGAAATGGTTGTCTAGATTTTGAGAATGAAGAATTTGATATCTTTAAAATTATTTTCTTGTCACATAGTTATGGTCATTCAAAAGCCAATTTCTATTAGATTTCTTACTTTTTTATTTCTTGTTATACATATGTATAAGTGAATATTTGTCTTTTTTAAAAGCAATCATAACATTGGAAGTCATTTTTCTATCTCCATTGCACCAGTTTTTCTTGAACCATTTGTTAATCTACAAGTTCTATGGCTACATAGAAATCTATTCACATTCACAGGATTTTGCAACTTGGCTTTGTTCCACTTTTACTGCTATATTTGCTTTATCTGTATTGATTCTATAGGAATTAGTTTATTCTATAGTTTGGCTTGCTTCTTAGTTATGTAGTCTTGAAATGCCATATTCACATTTGCTTTTATGGTTCCCATATTAAGGTTCAGGGATTTACCCATGCATTTGTATAGTTGAGCATTTTTGTTGCTTCTTTATACAAGCTTTAACTGAGACTAATACATGTATTTTTCTTTTCTTTTTGTAGAGACAGGGTCTTGCTATGTTTCCCAAGCTAGTCTCAAACTCCTGGTCTCAACTGATTCTCCCACCTCAGCTTCCAAAAGTGCTGGGATTACAGGCATGAGCCACCACGGGAACACCACATTTCTATAAGGTTATCGGGTTTTACTTTTTTCCGGTGTTAATTAGTTTCACATATCTAGAATTTGTAATTTCCTATTGGATACTAAGATAGAATTATTGTACTTATTTACATGAACAAATTAATGTTTTCCTCTACAAACTACTTTAGAAAGATTTTCAATAAAGGTAAACGGGATATAATCATCTATTAAGGGAAAATGACTCAGAGTAGAACATGTACCAAAATATAAATTTGCTGTATTTAAAAAAGGAATTGAAAGCAAAAGATTCCAAAAGCTTGAAAAAAAATGGAGATGCCCTAAATAAACTTACCATTGAAAAATAACAGAAAATGTTGAATACAATAAAAAAAAATGCATTGCTGTGCTGGCAAGAAAGAAAATGCTTTAGAAGTAAACATAAATGAAGTGAATGAATGAATCCAGAGAGGCAAGAGAACCCTGGCATAAGTGCCTATCTTGAAAGGGTCTGCTGATTCTTAATGAACTTGAGCTTCCTTTTAATAAAAGCTGCATTGGGGCTTAGGGGAAAGGAGACAAGAGAGACTACCCAACATGCAGAGGCTGAGAGCAGACCTATACATAATCCAGAATGCCTTATATCTTCAGTGAAAAGTGAACAACAATAGCAGCAATGAAAAACCAAACCAATCAGAAGAGGGTTATAAGGAAACCTGTCTAGAAACCTAACCTAGATGCTAGGTAGAAATAAAGACTCACTTCCTGTGATATCCATGAAAACCTCAAGCCAATTATTTAAAATGGTTACTAGTCAGCAGAGATAAATCCCTTAGAAGGCTTAAAATTATATTTTCTTTGGTGGAATGTTCTATCCAGACCTCAAATAATTCCTATAAAATTCCACTGAACATAAGCTCAAGTTTAAAAAATCATAAAACAGGTGAGGATCTTAAGTACCTCTGATGAGTAGCACAGTATGGTGTCTCATGTGGGTGATCCCAACACTTTGGGAGGCTGAGGTGTGGGGATTACTTGAAGCCAGGAGTTCAAAACCAGCCTGGCCAATACAGTGAGACCTTGTCTCTGTTTTTAAAATACAAAGTCCAATGAGTTGAGTGCCAGCAAAAAAAGAAAACAGATAGCAGAATTATATCTATAAATGGTTTAGGTACTAGAATTATCTGCTACTAAATAGAAATACAGCTATTCCTTGTTATTATGTTTAATTCACTCCTAAAAACCCTACCGCTAAGTGAAAAGCCACTAAATGAAAAAATATTTTAACTAGAAAATCATGATGCATTCTGTGTAAACCCAAGAAAACTAAATCCTTTCAGCCAAAAGCATATCAATTTTTCCACAGACAAGGTTATGTAAACAATTTGAAATAATAAATACATTTACAAACTATAATGTAATGAAAGCTTATTGTAAACTTTCTTGCTTCTGTACTAACTTTTCAGTCTTTGGAGGGCCTATAGTTATTTTACACTCTAAATTTATAGCACTTAAAGTTGCAGCACAGAAAAACACTGTGAGTTTAATGTTCCTATGACTTACAACATCTTACAGGAGCTGGCTCCTTTGCAGTCCCTTTAAATTCATCATTTCCTACTCTTTCTCCTTGATGCCTGAACTCTGATTCATTGGCTTCTGTTCAGTTCTTCACACTCCCGACTCTTCCATGGCTCCAGACTGTCAAATCTGTGGGTCCTACCACCTTGAATGCACCCTCTGCTATTCTTCACCTGACTGGTTTCTTTCCAACATTCTCATTTCAGACTAAGTCTAATGGACCCAGAGAAGTCTTCTCTTACTATTTTGTGGAAATTGGTCCCTCTTCTGCACCTCCATCCTCCAGCACTTGCCTCTGGCCATATTGAAGGATCTTGAAAGATATACAGATAGGTACATACAGATAGGTATATAGGCAAGTGAAAGAGCAAAAGGCAGAATATACTTAGTGTTTTAATTGAATGATTCTAGAGGTCTGCTTAAATTGGAAAGTCAAACCTGATTGAGGTTATTACCTTAGGAAAAGGACAAGACTAATTGGTCAATGTTCAGGGGAGTTCAGATAGTAACCGCAGCCTGAAAAGCATCTAGGCCTGTGACATGGTTTGGCTATGTCCCCACCCAAATCTCATCTTACAGTTTCCATAATCCCCATGTGCATGAGAGGGATGTGATGGGAGATAATTTAATCATGAGGGTGGTTACTTCCATGTTGCTGTTTTCGTGATAGTGAGTTCTCACAAGATCTGATGGTTTTGTAAGGGGCTTTCCTCGCTTTTGCTCAGCACTTCTTGCTGCCACCATATGAAGGACGTGATTGCTTCCCCCTCTGCTATGATTGTAAGTTTCCCAAGGCCTCCCCAGTCATGCGGAACTGTAAACTTCTTTCCTTTATAAATTGCCCAGTCTCAGGTATGTCTTTATTAGCAGCATGAGAATGAACTAATATAGCCTGGGAACATTATTTGCCACTCTCACTTACAGATGCTTTAAATATGCCCACTTGTTCAAGCTCTAAGAGTGGATCACTTTGTTTCACCCTAGTGTGAGGATTCTCAAGAATGTATGTGGTCATTATTCCATCTCCTTCCGCCTGAGGTAGCATAACCATAAAACGGTGCAAACTGGACTTGGATTGTAGACTATACTGAGATGCTGATGCACTTGCCCGCTTGTGAAAACCCACTTCCCCATGACCTCAAAGATAACTTTGTTATGTGTGCTTGCTGATGGAAGAGAAGGTTTGCCTCGCACACCAAAGGCTGGCATTTGCAGCAGTTTCTGTGCCTACAGGGCCTAACCCCATATCTGGCTCAAACATGGGACCCTGATTTTCATGAAGGGCATTCTAGCTGCTGTGTAGAAAATATATTGGAGGTGAATATGTGATTGCGGTACAATCTCCTTAGGTGGTCCCTCTGGAATAGAACTTGAATGCTCTCTGTAACTAGTCTACAGATACAGGTAACGCATCCTGCTGGATATAGTTCTTTATGTATTTTGTTGAATCCATTCCATTATATTTATTGTGTAATTAAGACTTAAGAAAATGCTTTAAGGTTTTTCTTCTGGTTGTATAACTTAAAATGCTAAAATGTTTTATGTATCAAATAATTTCCTAAGAGTCACCAAGGGGTTCACGGAGAAACCACGATTTGGGTCAGTTATTTTGTTCACCCAGGTAGCCATTTATCAGTCCCAGAAACCCAAAGTGTGAGGTAGTGCTCTGCCTCTACCTGGGACTTACCTCTGCTATTTACATAATTTTGGTTCCAGGTTTCCCTCTTACTCTCACTGGAGGAAATTGAGGGTTGAGTCAGCGTGATAACGGAGTGCTTAAATGGTTTGGATGTGTTGTTTCCTCCATTTGATTTGATGGGTTTGCAGATTTCCCCTGTATGAAAAGCCTTAGTGAGCTCAGGTGGGTACCTAAGCCTGGGTGGCAGTCACTCTGCAAAGTCCTTCAACCCAGACTTCTCTTAGATTTTAGCCTCCTAAGAGTTTGGATTTTCCATGCCCTTTAGGTGATCACAAAGAAGAAATTTCTCTCAAGCTGTGGCAAATAGCCTTTCTAGGAAAGAATATATATCGCTCCCACTGCTACCCAACCCCAATTCCACCTCATCCCCATGGCATTTTCCTGTATCTTTGAATAAACCCATGAGAGATCCTAAGTAAAACCAATTCCTAAAATCACTCCTGTCCCTCCAACCATCCCAATGGACTGATCTCAGATTTCTATCTTGAAACAAAGAGGTTGAAATCAGCTTTTAGTACTGTGTTGAATGAAATATTTCACATGCCATTACTTTAGTTTTAATGTTAAAAACAATTTAAGAATAGATTATAACAAAACAATAAGTTCATAGTATTCCAAAGTTTTACTTGTTAAATGCACTATTAATAGCCTACTGCTATATAATATTCATTTCTAAGCTACTAGATATCAACAGAGCTAAACTCAGACCTGGTCATTTTAAAAGCATATTTCTCTTTATGTTCACAAAAGCTCATTAATCATCTTAAAAATCCTCCAAGCATTGACTTCACAAAAACAAAAGTAGAAAGATAGTTCTTTGTTTATTGGATACCCAAGAATTTAAAAAATTAAATTTGGCTTTAGTATCATTAAGTAAGGGTATCACATCCTCAGAACCAAAAACTAACAAGAAACTCATTTTCTTCTTCTTAACAGCTACAAAGGTAAAAAAGAGGGTCAAGGATATATGAATACAACAACTTTTAATTAAAGAGAGGATTAGCAAAGATAATTGAAGTCCACTTACAATTTCAAATTTGCTTTTTGAAAAAGTTTTTAATTCAAAGAGATTAAAATAAGGAGCAAAATGGATATGAATTTCAAAACTCTTTCTCTGCCAATGATCAAAACAATTAGAGATGAAATGAAAACAAAATCGTAGGTAATTAGCAGACTGGATAGTCAAGTTTAAAATCAATAAGGATTAACTGTTAATACACTTTGGTATCAGAAAACTTACACCAAAGTTTGTTAGAAGGGAGATTAAACAGGTGTTGATATATTACACAGAAAGAAAAGAGTAAAAAAGGAGGTGTGGAGAGAAAGCTGAGTCCTTTGGGTCCTCCCCAAATCTTCTATCACTAAAGAAAAGTAACTGCTTGAAAGTGTGACAGGGTAATAACAGTAGCCCCTGGGCTTATTGCAGAAAGGAAATTGGCTTTTGATTTCAATGATTCAGGGTCCTGTGGGAGAGACAGTCTTCTCAGTGGAGGAAGGGGAAATTTGTGGTACCCTAGAGGAAGAGCCCTTTGGTTTGTTGAAACTTTGAGTTTTGAGTTTTCTGCATAGCAAAAAGTGGAGATTTAAATTCATCTTTGGGGAAGACCTCTTCCTTTGTTACAAGAAAGCTACCCTTTCCTTAGTTAAAGGAATTGAAACAAATCCTCACCTGACCCAGTGTTTTTCAAAAGGGGAAAGTGGTGACTTCGAAATGAATTCAGAAGCATCCATTCTAGAGTTAAACAGAGCAGCCAAATGAGCTAGTGTATTTGTAGTTGTATATAGCTGAGACATGTTATAGTTTGGTATTAAAGTGCCTGCCTAAATGCAGTAGCTCAGAGTTTTCCTAGATTGCAAATGAGTATTCAAATGAAGACATATTATACTGGTTTAAAATTAGACAACTTTAAAATAGGATTAGGAACCAGAAATTGAGATGATGAGAGTTCCTAAAGACAGATGGAATTAATCAATTACAATTTTCCTCTTGATTCCATTTCATCCATATAAACAGAAATTTTTCCACAAAAAATTTTGTGAAATGAATGCTGAGAGTTGTGATTCTGAGAGTTTTTGCCCCTTCAAAAAAAAAAAAAAAAAAAAAAAAAAAAAAACACACCGCAACTTTTTAATGCTCATATTGGGTACCCAAATGCTTTTTGATTGATGTGAGATTTCACTTGCTAGGAGAGTTTATTTAAGTTCATCTAAAATTCCCTGAGAAAAGAATGCACTATTTAAGGTAGATTATGTCTCAAGGTACACACCCTGATTTGATAGAGAGGCACTAGCTACCAGCTTCCAAGTTTCCATCCTTTAGATCAGAGAAAGAAAGGAAATCCAGGCTCTTCAGTTTAGCTTCAACACTATCAGTAAACTCCCTGGAGGCTTTCTGCAGTGGAAGCCGGGGTGGGCCCATTGGAATCCCAGAGACCAGAGTCATGATGGCTTTGGTCTGTGACACTCCAAAACCTAGATGGGAAAAATAAATGAGGAAACATGACTGACTGTTCGTCCCTCCACAAACATCCCAAAGAAGGAGACCATATGCTAATAGCAACTAGTACAACAGGATAAGATTAAAACAAAAGATGAGAACATTTCTAGTCAATATGAAAGATAAGCAGTCATTTGAAATCCCTCTTCCTGTTTCAAACACATAGAAATGCTGGAAAATTTTAACAAGTTGATCACAGTAAAAGAAAACGAAGACTCAAGGTGAATCTTAAACCCAAGAAGGAGAAGCCAAAGGTGTCAGGAATTAAGAGGTCAGAAAGATGAGGAGAAGCTGATGCCAAACAGCCCTTGAGGATAATCTGATTCAGGAATACACTATTGTTGATCAAAGGAGGTAGGACTTTATTGCCAGGACAAAATTTAGTTTAGTTTATGTAGGAAGTCCCTGAGAAACACAGTACTTAAGGTGGCTTGTGACTCAATGCTGCTGTTTTCATGCTGGTGTTACACGGCTGGCATGGGAATGGAAAATGAAGTCTTGGATCTGTGCATGGTGAGAAGCTGGAATTAAACTCCCTGTGTAAAACTGGTAGTCAGCCTTCTATGAAAAGCAATAGAAAAAAACCCAGCCCACTGGTCTGGATACAGAGAAGAAAACCTGACTCCTACCAGGGTTGTAGACGGAAACAGATCTCATGAAAGAAATCTCGAGCCTGAGCCAAAGGTGAATGCTAGATCCCAATATGCATTACAAACTTAGTATAGGTACTAAGTTGCTAAGAAATTAACCCTAAAACTGGTTAGAACTGGTGGAACTACAGTGTCCTAGCAGAGGGAAATGTAAACTCACTTGATAGGGCACCTTACAACCTAATGTTCAATGGGTTATGCGGAAAACAACAGTCTCTGAAGATGAGCTCAAAACTAAAAATTACAAAGCCCATGAGGAAAAGCAGCAGCATGAGAACTAGCAAGTTCCAAAATGACAAAACTCGCATCCTGAGAGTAGATGACAGATTACTCTGAAAGAGACTTCTCAGAGATAAAAGGAGGAATAGAAGCCATAGGCTAAGAGAAGAATGCTAGAGTACAAAACAATCAACAAGAATTACTGAAAAAAAAAAGATATATATATATTTAGGGAAATCAAACACTAAAAGCATAGCTAAAGAAAGGATTAGTGATTTTCAAGGTAGATCTAAGGAAATAATAGCATAGAAAGATGTTAAATAGTTTTTTAAATTGCGATGCAGATTGAGAAAATCCAAAATACATCTAATAGGCTTTCAGAAGGAGAGATTTGAGTAAATGCAGTCAAAACACTGAATACAGATGACAGTATAGAATTTTTTCAGAACTAAAGGAAGACAAAGCCTTCAGATTGAAGAAGCAGATAGAAGATCAGGTACACTGTTATTATGTAAAAAGCTTAACTAATAATTATCAATCATAATCTCCAATCCCTATCTTCTAAAATGTCTGTAATTTGTTTTCTTTGCTGGCTATTGCTTTCAGATTCAAGATATAAGAACTAACTTTCTTTTGCTAGGTTAGCTTAGGTACGGTAAACACTGAGCATTGGGAAGGAAATATTAGCATGATTGAATATACAGTAGGCCTCCCTTGTCTGCAGTTCCACTTTCCATGGCTTCAGTTATCTGGTCAACCGCAATCCAAAAATAATAAGATATTTTGAGAGAGAGACAAGAGAGACTGACCACAGTCATATAACTTTTATTGTAGTATATTGTTATAATTGTTCTATTTTATTAGTTTCTCTCTTACTGTGCCTAATTTATAAATTAAACTTTACCATAGGTATGTATGTACAGGAAAAAAATATAGTGTATATATAGGGTTTTGTACCATCTGCAATTTCAGGCATCTACTGGTCTTCTTAGAACATACCCCCGTGAGATAAGGGGGACTACTGCACACAGGCAATCTTTTAGTTCATCTAACATTTTAGTAGTTCAATACCTATTTTAATGTACTTTAGGAACATATGATTATCACACCAAACCCACAATTTTGTGAAAACATGCTTAGAAAAAGGGAACGGTAATAGGTAGTTCATAGCACTGGTGGCACACAAATGTGCAAAAATCATGAAAGTGGAAACACAAATGGAAATATCCTGGACAGACTAAGAGTGGGCTGATGAACCCTGCAAGAATGAGGGGCAAAGCACATAGGAGTTACTTGAGGGAGAGGGAAGAGTTGCCAGGATTACACAGAAGGGCTCTGACAGAGAGCAAGGAGGTTTGCCAAAAATGAACTTAAAGCCTTCCTGCATTAATGCGGGTTCAGTTGGCCCAAGGGCCAATCTCTTGCAGAAAAGGAGCGGATGGTGGCATTTGTCATTTGTTATAGAATAAGATTTAAGACACTCTGGAGAGGTTCCTCTGCTCCGATTCACTGTATTTCTCCCCACTACTGCTCCTCAATTTTACTTTGTCATATTATCCAAACCTCCATCCATTTAAGCTTACATGTGTTAATAAACTCTGTTTAAATTGTAAATACTCTTGGGAGAGCTGTCAGTCATTCACAATTTAGTAAGATCTGTATTTAGACTGCCTTCCTCCTAGCACTTAGGCTGAAATCAGCCACAATGCAGTAGTAGCATTTTAATGAGCAGAGGCAAGTAAAGGGAGGGAGTGCAGACAGTTTAGGGAAAAAAAATGGAAAATGGGGTAGGTATGTGCTAAAATGGAAAAGGCTGCCAAGATCTTCCAACTAGGTTTACATCACAGTTTTTTATGGTTGGCCCTGAGGGTTAATAAGGGAAACAGAACTCTGCTTGCAACAGATCATTAAAAGGTGTGCTTGTTGAACCCTCAGAGAAGTGATCGTATTCTATTTTCCTTACAGTCTCCAGCAGCAGGCAAAGCAGAAAACAGATGTGGCACTTACCTAGTTTAACCACAAAATTGATAAATCTCTGGATACAAAACTAGAAAAGAACAAACAAATCTGTAGTTAATATTACTGAACCATGTAAACAATGTAAAGAAATTAGAAGTCAAATTACAGAAACCCTAAAAAGTCTGCACACCATTTACTGAAGATCTGTCAGAGTGGAGAAAAATAGCCAAGTGAAGATGACTGGGATCCATCCAGGCTAAGGTAAGATCTTTTCATACATGTAGGCTTTACAGAATGGGACCGTGCAGAAAAGAAGCTTCAATGATGGAATTGTACAAGAGAGTAAAGATGGGAAATCACACCCCTTATCTGTCTGGCTTACATAGGTAAACTTGTCAGCTACTGCAGTGGTTTTCAAACTCGGGTACAGGTAGCTCTGGGGTTCCTTCCAGGATGCCTAAGGAGAACATGGCCAAGGCTAAGATTTACAGGAATTAATTTCTAGATCCTCAGCTTCTGTAAGTGCTGCGTTCTAAAACTGATCAGCATAAGAATTTGCATGGAATGGAAGTGGTTTGTTCTCTCGTTTCCCCATTCACGGTCTTTCTTTTTCTACTTTTGAAAAAAATAAAGACATACCTCCTATATCCATTGCCTTGGGATACCTCTGGAGTACCAAATAAAAGAGCAAATCAAAATGTTTGCGTTAGTATTGACAAAGAGAGGGACAGTGATTCCTCTAACAGATAATAAGTCCTCTCAAAAATCAGAGGTTTTTCAATTATTTGCTTTCTACACTGTTAGCTACTCAGGTTTCAGCTATAAATCATTAAAGCATTCTGTGATTTTGGCATATGACTCAAAAAATGTTCAAAGAATTGAGTGACACTGCTATAACAAAATTTCCATGCTTACCTACTAACTTACTTGAACACAGTTTTGAAGCACTTATTTCTCCAAAACAAAAATAGTATTGATGTTGAACCTCAACTCATCCTAGCATTAAGTAATATTCATCCCTGGATTCACAGAAAAATTGGTTTTAAAAAAACAGCCTCATCCATCTTATTAAGAGATGTATTTTCAATAACATTTAACTTTTATATTTATCAAAATGCTTAACATATTGAATCGACTGTATGCTAGAAATAAAATTCAATGTACAATAAAACTGTAATACCCAGAGACTTACATACGTGTTCTACCCCATGAACAATATAGCACATTACATTTACTATCTTGTACTTTGCTGCTTTTTTCCATTTAACATACCATATAGATCTTTCCAGGTCAGAATACATAAAGCTATCTCATTTTTAAGAGCGATATATTATTCAATTGCATAATATATTTAATCATTGCCTTATGGATGAATATTTGGGCTGCTTTCATCTCTTGCTGTTATAAACAAAGAAGCAAGAAATATCTTTGTATGTGTCATTTCACTCATGTAAATATAACAGAGGGCATTTAAGTACATTAAGGTGAATGAGATAAATTTAACCCTAACATCTTGCCTGCTTCTTCACAGGAGTCAAAGCTCTTCAAGAGCAGAAAGCAGCTCTACTGAAATTATGTACGGAGCACAGCCCCTGGCATATCAATAAATGAGTAAATAAGACTCACTCACACATGCCTTTTTAAGAAGAAACACAGAATGTGGTAAACTAAGTTCCTTACCAACATTGTTTTGAATGGGATGATTTATTTAGAGTGGGACTAAGGGGGGAAAAAGATGGAGACTGGATCAGCCAATAAGAGAAGTCACTGAATGGAAGGGTCAGCATTACAGCTGCTTCAATCTACTCCATCTATGATTTCCCTGTTCTGTTCAGAACAGGCTAGAATTTTCAGGGATAACTTTTCTAGGAAACTAGGCAGGGTGGGGGAAACCATCAATGCAAGGAGATGGCAGTCTGCACAATTCATTCTTCTTACCCTTATTTAAACCAAAATCTTGTCAGTGTCTAGCTTATGTGGCATAGCTTCCTAGATCCCTACCCAGTTCCTATTCTTAGCTTCATCTGGTCTGAGGATGGACAAAGGTGAATGTTACATAAGGTATTTAAACTTTAAGGAGGAAATAGATTTATGATGGCTCAACTTTGAGGCCTAAGGGTAGGGAATAATTAATCACTTCTGGATTCTGCTTCTTCATGTTCTCTCTGGGTTGGGGCTGCAGGTCACTCCCTCTAGCCCCCACAGGGTGCTTTGTACTTCTGCTCTGTCATCTCCAGTTACACTGATGGCAGCCTGTCCTGTTCAAAAAGATCCCACAGCCAAGCTTCATTAGGACCAACCACTTGCTCCAATCTTACTTCTGTCCTTCCATTCCCATTTATTTTCTTGGGATACTTCTCTCAACCACATATACTATCCTGAAGATCCCCATGCCTCTCAGACCCCAAAAGTGTTGCTCTTATGTCTACCCTATTTTCTTCCAATTCATTCCATTTACTTTTAGATGATAAATACCTCCATTTAGTTTAGAACCATGTATTAGAACCAGATGTTAGCTGGTTGTAGTGGCACATGCCTGTAGTCCCAGCTACTCAAGAGGCTGAGGTGGGAGGCCTGCTTGAGCCCAGGAGGTCGAGGCTGCAGTGAGCAATGATCATACCACTGCACTCCAGCCTGGGCAACAGAGCAAGACCGTCTCTAAATAAAAGAGAAGCAGCTGTTGAGACTGTTCCACCCTTCACTGAGGTTCTTCTTTCCTGGATGGCTAGACTGTCCTCCATGGAACATTCACAGCAGCCACTATGTCCTCTGGGATCTTCCCTGCAATGTATCAGCTTCTGCTGGTTTTCTCTTCCTGCCTCAAATCCTGTTATCTACTTTTGGATCACCCACTAGGCTCTTATTTCCTTCCTGGTGGATGTTTCTAGTTCTCAGCACATTTCCAGGGTGAACGAGACTGACCTGCCCTGAATTTGAAGGAAGCCTTACCCATTTTAGGTTACCGTCTTTATAGCTTCCTCATATTCTGTGATAACTCTGGTGTGATGTCCTCAATGGGCCAGCATGTGGTCATTTTCCCAGAAATCTATGACCATTATATTATAGTCATGAAGGTACTTTGAAGATAGAGTAAAAATAAGATCCTTTCTAGGAGGAAGAGAAGAGCCATATCCGTATGGGGCCTGTCCTGATTAGACATGTAGGGAACACAGACAATGGGGACAGCTTTGGTTTTAAACAAGGAAAAGAAAGAAACAGAAGAAAGGTAAAGAAAGAAGCGGCTGGGCAATTTTAATGAGGGCGGGTATGGTAGGAATGCTGGTGAGAGAGAAGAAAAAGAATCCTCAATTGGAAAAGAAAAAAGGCTGTGGGAAGGGAAGAAAACGTTTACCTGATAGTTCAGGGCTAAAGAGAAGTCCTTTCTTTCGAAAGCCTCCAACATCTGGCTTGTCTTTCTTCCCAGGTAGTTATAGGTACTGGAAAGACAACAGCAAATACTGCAGCTTCAATAACTCAACAGGAAAGGTCCAGATCTTCAAATCCCTCTGCTGTTTAAAAAGGGAAAAAAAACACCCAGTCCTCCTAAAGTCTGTTTTTGGGTCTTAATCTATTAGGGGATCAGACTGCCTTCAGTTCTGAGTTTTCCAGCAATACTAAGCAGTACTGCAGAGAAGGAAGAGTGACAAAAGGGGATAAAGGAAGAAAAGTGGAAAAAAGATAAAATAGAAAAAAAAAAAAGCTGGAGGTATATTTGCTAGGAAGTGACTGAGGCCAGCTCCTGCCCTAGGGTACACACAAGTGCAATGCTAGACAAGAAGTGTGGAAAAAATGTAGCATCTGAGGTGAGTCCTAAAAGGCTTATGCTGAAAAACTAGGTGGATGGAGCACCATGGTAAAAGGGGCAAATCCCAACAAATTACCTACATTCCTTGCCAATCTGTATATTACTTAAAGAGTAGTTTCCACACAATAATATTAATAATGATGATAATAAAATGAGGGACCATTTACTAAGTGCCTATTACATTACAGGTGCTTGACATAGAGCATGTCTAATCCTTGTAAAATCATGGAAGGGTAGGCCTGGTTTTTATTTTGATCAAAGAAGGGCTGCAGAGTTACCACAAAAGCTTTTCCATTGTGTCATGCTATCTTCAATAATAATTCGATAAAAATGAAGGTGAGAATAGTTATTTGACCTGACAATACATTTTTGTTGACTTAAACTCTCTAACTCTACCTATAAAGACAAATATCTTAAATGAATCACTGAATTATCTGAGGCCTAGTTGTACATCCTCCCCTTGGATTCTGTGTGATTTCTCAGTATTTTATAGTAACTTATCTTCTTTTACATAAGCTAGTTTAAATGGGCTTCTGTTATTTGTAACCAAGTAATTTCTGAAACCAGCAAGGTAGAAGGTTATAGAAACTCATAATAAGGATATTTCCCCAAGTTCTTTAAATTCGAATGGCTTCTCACATAGTAAGTCGGTATCAGAAAATGTACTTATCTTGATGTACCAAGAACAGAACTGTTGTTGGACTTTTATATATAGGCCCTGGGTCAACAGCAAGGATTCCAGGAATGTGAAGCTCATGTTATTATCTGGCAATAGACTAAGGAAGAACAATGTCTGAGGAGTTTCAGACACTAAAATTTGAATCCCAGTGGTCTTAGGTGTATCCTTGGTTAGAAAGAAAGGTGATTATAACTAGGGAGAAATGAAGTCTAACCAAATTTGCTTATAGATTATGTTGACAGAATTAAAATGCCCAGGATGGAGGCCAAAAAGGAGGAGTCAAAAAAGTAAGAATTGCCGGGCGCAGTGGCTCAAGCCTGTAATTCCAGCACTGTGGGAGGCTGAGGCGGGTGGATCACGAGGTCAAGAGATCGAGACCATCCTGGTCAACATGGTGAAACCCCGTCTCTACTAAAAATACAAAAAATTAGCTGGGTGTGGTGGCACGTGCCTGTAATCCCAGCTACTCAGGAGGCTGAGGCAGGAGAATTGCCTGAACCCGGGAGGCGGAGGTTGCGGTGAGCCGAGATCGCGCCATTGCACTCCAGCCTGGGTAACAAGAGCGAAACTCTGTCTCAAAAAAAAAAAAAAGTAAGAATTTCCAGGGGGG